TGGACCTGTTACATAACATCGCAGACTGACATGCACAAAGCCTGCCTGTCGAGTTCCCTAGTTGGCTTTAAAAATTATGGTAACTGAATTTAATACATATATAAACCTTTATCAGTTGATTTTTAAAATCAGTGCTGGAAAATACAGGATCATAACTAATGAAGCAGTGATTTGTCAACCTGAATCTAGAAGACAGAATTCCAAATAAGATTGCTATACCAACACCACCATTCAATTTGCTCGAAACAGAGCAACTAAATTACCTTTGAGCAGAGAGTAGAATCCCTGATGAGTTGGATGTCCAGTGTGCATCTGTGTCTCTATTTAAAGATACGTAAAGGGATTCTCAGAGGATCTACCAACAAGTATACTTATGGGTCCTGAGTATTTAAAATGTATTAAACAGTAACCTTTAAAGACTGAGAACATAATAGATCATTGAAGATGTGGTGAAGAGCAAGCAGTCTGGTACTGTAGTATAATAGAATGCCTGTACTCTGAGGTAATTATTACAGAGTAACTGCTTATTTGTTAAAGTAGATAGCATTCACTTTCATTATGGCCAAGGTCACTTCTGTTGTCCAAGGTGTACTGTCTTGAATTATAAAGGAACTCAAGTGATCATATGTGGAAATTTCAAGACAGAAAAAGAGAAAGTGAATAATTTAAAAATCATTGTCTATTGCTTGCAGCTACTGAAGAGAAACAGGTGTATTTCTCCAGTCTCTCCTCTAAAACCATGAGCATTTATTTATCCATGGTTCCAGGCAGCAATATTTTGGTTTAAAAGTAAACCTAAAATACTTTCAAAAGTGTAGTATTTTATGCCTTGTCATTTTTCAGGTTTTTCACATTGAAATAAGCAGCCAATCCTTTGCTTTTCTTCACCTAATGACAGTTGAGAAACATTTTTGAAGCCAGGAAAATGAGGACCAAAACCATGCATGATGAGCATTTTGATGAGGCCACTGGCCTTTAAAACTTCTGTGCTTTGGGGAGATTTACTGGATAATTTCAGAAACCTATTTGGCAGAGCTAAGTCAATTTAATTCGAAAATTGATGAGCTATTAACTGTTACTGGAAATGTGCCATTTTCCTATTATATTATGGCTTGTTTTTGATAGGGATTTGAGGGGAAAAACCAAAGGCCCCTTAGCATGAATAAAATTAGATATGCATCTGTTCTATCGTGTGGCCTCCATTTAGATAAATCTTTTTTAGTTCCTATTCAATATCTAGGCTGTTGATTAAAGAATGCTAATTCTTACATGTATAACATTTAACATTTTACAGATTGCTGTATAAACATTACTGCAATTAGAGTAGGCAAGGTAGATAAAGCAGGTATTATTATTATCCTTGCTTTTTAGAAAAGAAAACTGGGCATCAAAGGGGTTGAATGAGTTGCTGAAGTTCACACAGCCCGAGGATGATAGAGGTGAGACTAGGGACAGCAGGTCTTCTCAACTCTAATCTGTGTCCTCATCTCTAACCTTCATTTGTGCTCCTTTTAAAGCATGGGTGGCGGGGCGGGGGGGGGGAGATCTAAAAGGCAAGAGATGAATCTTGAACCTTCTTTTAGGAGGCTGAATTGGATGGAAAGCAAAAACTCGTTTTGTAACAGCTCTTCCCTGCTTTAAAACATACAGAATTACACATTTGAATTGTAGAAGGTTGCAAACATAGGTGGTATGGCAAACCACAAAGAGCCATGCAGTAAGATTTGGGACTAAGGCAGGGGTTTCATAAGAATCTTGACATTATCTAACTTGTTACCTTGGTTATAAAATTTACCTCTGATCATCATCCTTGTGAAGTGGATCTTAAAATAGTTCATATGCTCAACTCACAGACTGCTTTATTTTGTTCTTTTAAAATTTGAGACAGGGTCTCACTCTGTCATCCAGGCTGGAGTACAGTGATGTGATCTCAGCTCTGCAGCCTCAACCTCCAGAGCTCAGGTGATCTTCTCACCTCAGCCTCCCGAGTTGCTGGAACAATAGCTATGTGCCACCATGCTTGACTAATTTTTGTATTTTTAGTAGAGATGGGGTTTACCATGTTGCCCAGGCCTGTCTTATTTTGTTTGTTTGTTTGTTTTTTGAGATAGAGTCTCGCTCTGTTGTCACGTGCCAGGCTGGAGTGCAGTGTCACGGGCTTGGCTCACTGCAACCTCTGCCTCCCTTGTTCAAGCAATGCTCCTGCCTCAGCCTCCAAAGTAGCTGGAACTACAGGCATGTGCCACCGCCCAGCTAATTTTTTTTTTTAATCTATAGTAGTTTGGTTATTTATTTATTTATTTTTTTAACTAGAGGCGGGGTTTCACCATGTTGGCCAGGATGCTCTCATTCTCTTGACCTCATGATCCACCCACCTCGGCCTCCCAAAGTGCTGGGATTACAGGCGTGAGCCACCACACCTAACCCAGGGTGGTCTTGAACTCTTGGGCTCAGGCAGTTTGTCTCCCTTGACCTCCCAGAGTGCTCGGATTACAGGCATGAGCCACCACCCCCGGTCCAGAACTGCTTTCAAAAAAAAAGTAATAACATTGGTCAGGCCAGGTGGCTCACACCTGTAATCCAAGCACTTTGGGAGGCTGAGGCGGATGGATCATGAAGTCAGGATATCAAGACCATCCTGGCTAACATGGTGAAACCCTGTTTCTACTAAAAATACAAAAATTTAGCCAGGCATGGTGGCACGAGCCTGTAGTCCCAGCTACTCAAAAGGCTGAGGCAGAAGAATCGCTTGAACCTGGGAGGCAGAGGTTGCAGTGAGCCAAGATCGTGCCACTGCATTGCGGCCTGGGCATCACAGTGAGACTCCATCTCAAAAAAAAAGCAAAAACAAAATGATAACACTGGGATATTTTGTCAATCCCCACATGCTGTAAACATATGTGATATGTATAGTTATGTATAGTTCACATAATTTAATGTTTATTTTAGTTTGTAGACTGATTGTATCTAAAAATACAAATTATATAACTAAGGTTTTAGTTACTTGGGTAAGAATTATCTGCATAATCGATGCAGAGGAAGTTTGCTTTATTTGCTTTTTCTTCCATTTCTCATCATTAACTTTACTCATTTAACAAACATTCACTGGTCTCCTAAAATTTGTTGGGCTCTCTGCTGTGTATTGGGAAACAAAGATGAGAATGGCACAACATGTTTTCTCCTGGTGGGAATATAAGTTGGTGCAGCTAAGTACAATAGTATAGGATGAGGTTACCTGGGTGAGTGGTGGTTATAGTTTGCAGTAGCCTCTGCTTGCCAGGCCCTGCCCTCTTTCTGATTGGAGTCTCTCTGTGTCGGTCCCAAGAGGGAATCCTTTCTAGTTGCATGAAAGCATCATTCAGGCTAGCAGAGACGCTGGTGCACACCAGATTTACATGGAAGGGTGTTTATATGTGATTTGTAATAAAAATTACAAATTATAAAGCAAAAGTTAAGAAGTAAATAATGATAGATTCCTTCAGTGGAGTGTTACAAATTTTTGGATTAAGCCTGTGAGAAAATGCCTATGGAACACTAAAGAAAAAAATTTACAGAACTGCTCTGAAAAATAATGAGCCAGATTTGACGTACCTTGAACATTCTGCTAAAAAGTTGGAACTGATTGAATTAGATATATTTTGAAGACTAGAAAGGACAAAACATGTTTGAGAACACTGTGTCTTAGGTGACTTTTTAAGTATTTCAAAAGTTACCATGTTATGGTTTAATCATGTTAAATAGAAGAATTATACTTTGAATTTCAATAGAACGTTTTTAGTCTGCCACTGTAATATTAAAAGATTGCATTACCTTTTTAGTAGCATGCCTGGTAAAAGCTGAAGTGCATATTGGGAAATGTGTTATAGCCAGAGAGACATATATATTTAAAAGTAGAATAAAATTAAAGGCCAGTTTCCTTCACTGGTCAAGCCCATGGAGCTCGTGAACACTGCTGCATTTCATTTAAGGCCTTTATAAGTGAGGGAGTTCTTTTCAAATGTATGGAAACATACACAGGAAACCAGGCCCAGTGCTACAGCCCAGAGACATTGGCACAGAATGGGTGCTGCTGAGAACTCCAGGGCGTGTCCCCTCTTGAGTGTAATTCCAAATGAAAAATAAAGTCAACTGTGCCTAATAAGCTGGCTCAACTGAATGCCAAAGAAAATTTGCCTCATGAAGTGGAAATTCTGAAGCAAGTAATATAATGCTGAGAGAGAATAAATAGGAAGACTTGTAAGATATATCCAAAGAGGGCAAATGGTCTATTATAATCAGAACTCCCCAATTCAATAATGTTTAATGATTTGGTGAGATCCATAAGGTCCTGGAGATTTCAGATCTTTTAGAAACCAGATAAGTATTTAATTTATATTTAATTTTTAAAAAAAGGGATATAGATTAATTCAGATCAATTTTTTTAAAGTTAGTTGGATATTGGCTGACATGGAGCCACCAAATTTATTTGTATTCATTATTCTGCACATTTGTAACAACTGTAAGCAAATTACCATTTCCCCAATAAAACAGCATTATTTTAAATCTCTTCATTGCTAAGAATAATGAAGCCAAGTGTTCCAATTTGAGTATTTCAAGCTTCTCTTTTATAGAGTAAATTTACTTATAAACCTTTATTTATTTATTTATTTATTTATTTATTTATTTATTTATTTGCCATTTTCTCCCCAGTTGTCTTTCTCTGTTGCATCCCTTTTTATTCTCCTCCTCCCTTCCTCCTTCATCTTTGTCTAGGTCTTCATTATCTTGTGCCCAGGATCTTGTCCTAGTGTCTTAGCTGGTGTTTTTTCCTCTACTGCATTTTGCCTTTTCATGGCTGCTGAAGAGCAAGCCAAGAACATGTAACTGAAGAAAAGTTATGCCTCAGCTCTACTGATCATGAGCTTAAGGAACTGTAGAATCAAGATGTATTTTTTCCCCTAAGGGAGGAATAACATCAACTTGTAGAACTTTCATCATTTGTCTTTGTGTTTTTCTTGCAGGATCGATGTGACTCTAAGAACAAATGGATGAATGAATATCCATATGAAGAGAAAAACAATAAAGGTTGGTTAGTCAGATGTTAAAATTGCATTGAAAACATTGCTACTTTGAGCATGACTTTTGGACAGTTTATTCTCATTAGAGTATTTCCTTGTCTGAATATGAGACAGAGGTCTGTACTTATATGTGCATATCTATCTGTAAAATGTAATTTTTCTTTTTAGCTTCTTAAAAATATTATATGGAAGCAACTACCCATTTTTGTCTGCAAGTCTAGCTGTTATACTTTTCCAGAACTTAAGCTGGTATTTTAAGAATCAGCTTCGAGATGAATATTAAAAAATGGAAAACCACTTGATGCAACTGATCACTGGTACAAAAAAAGAAGCCAGATTTTGTTTAATATACATCAGTTTTCTACAAACATACTTCTAATACCAGCACCATATGGTGCATGATTGCTGTCAAATGCAGTCCTCTGCCCCTGAAGTCTCTGCTTTCCTCATAGAAGTAGGATCATCATGGAAAACTTTAATATTTGGTTTCCTACAAATACAGTATGAATTAAAGTAGGTGGGGGCTGTGAATTTCAACAGTCATCAAATAAGGTAAGGGCATTACCTTATTTGTGGTAGTTACTTGAGATTTTCTTATAGTTTCTACTGGTTATAATGTAAAAATAATAAGTGACACTAAGAGAATTACAATATGGTAAACCAGCTCTATTTTATAAATAGGTTTTACACTGAACAGGTCTCACACAGAGACATGTGCCTCATAATTCCTCATGTAGCTGCTGAGCAATACAATTTCGTATTTTCCTTCCCATGTTACTCTTGCTGCTTCCAAATCAATGCACATCTTAGCATGTCTTTTTCTGCCAGCCTACCTTCACAGTTACTTACAAGTGATTTTCAAGGTTATATCTTTCACTTAAAATTGTCTTTTTCCATCCTCATTGGTAAAATTGCTCCTTTCTAGTATTTGTAAAGTGTTTGGACCTGTGGAGGGATATTGATTCAGATACAGTTCAAGGGAGACTTCTGCAGGTATCAGTAATGTTCTTTTTCATGACCCCAGTGTTGCCTGTGTGGGTGCATTCACTCTGTGAGGATTAACTATACTGTGGACTTATTTGTATGTGGATCACTGGTGTGTTAGTAAAGTGATTCTCTGGGAGGGGGAGGGGAGAGGAGAGGCCTGATTGTAGTGTTCGTCAATTCCTGTGGTGTAATTATTCCCACTATGGCTGGTTTAGATGCTCACCAACTGGCTTGCAAGATTCCTTAAAATTCAAAAATTGGCGCTCATGAGCTGGGGATGAGTTAGCTCCAGCACACTACTGATAATTCCATCTATAACATAAAGTTAAACATTTTATGTATTCCTTAACACTAGAGTGACAAAGTTAGTAAATTTAAATTTTCTTGCCTCTTCTCTATATAAACATGGAAATGTTCTTATCATGCAAAATGTATTTATCCCTTTCCTTTATAAATGATGTTGAGATAGTATTTCTTTATGTTTTTGTTCAATTGTCATTAAATTTTTATGCCTGACAAGATCAGTGTTACAATGTTAGCTTTGTAAGTTTATAAATTTTGGCAGTGTCATTATTCTGTAACTAATTTTTATTATGGCAATTGAAGATGATAGCAAAAAGAATCATTGTGTTACTAGTTATCCTGAGGATAAACCCTGAAAATATTATGATTGACTGTAATATATGTGATTCATTCTGAATAATTGTGCCTTATAGCTCATAATTCATGAGTTCTAGTGAAGTCTTTAAGGAGAAAGGAGCAGTGAATATTTCATTTAATGTGTTTGTCCCATTGAGACAGAGTCTTGCTCTGTCACCCAGTTTGGAGTGCAGGGGCATGATCTTGGCTCACTGCAACCTCCGCCTTCCAGGTTCAAATGATTTTTCTGCCTCAGCCTCCCAAGTAGCTGGATTACAGGTTCATGCCATGACACCCAGCTAATTTTTTGTATTTTTGGTAAAGACGAGGTTTCACCATGTTGGCCAGGCTGCTCTTAAACCCCTAACCTCAAGTGATCCTCCCACCTTGGCCTCCCAGTGGGCTGGGATGACAGGCTTGAGTCACTGTGCCCAGCCTCACTGCTGTGTTTTTAAAAATAAGTTTTCATACATTTTATCTGTCGTTGATGCCTTTGAACAGAGGATACATTGATACTTGCTTTTAAGTCTGCTTGAATCAGATGCTGTTAGTTTTAACAAAGTCTGATTCAAGGGAAAAATTGCAGAGTTTGAAAATTCATCTTTATATTTCAAATACTTTGACAAGGTCAATATTAAGATGAAGTTTTTTAAATGTCAGTGGAAGCTATATTGCCATAGTATATGTAATTGAAAAGGGATTTGAATATGGCTTTTAAAACTGTTTTGTACATTTCCAGTTTGCCAGTTGTGACAAAATCCTGCCAAGAGCCACGGAATATCATGCTGTGCCTTTCTGCTTAGGTTCTAAAATTTAAATAGACTACTTGGGTTTCATAAAATTTCTATTGTGTCCATACTGAGAGGTTTACTTTCAGGAGCAGTCTTCATCTGCCCTTTCCAAAAACAAAAACAAAAACAAAAAATCTTTGCATTACTTTGCATTAAATTTTCCTTTACTTCATTTTTAAGTTACTTCCTTTACTCAGCTTCATTCCACTTGGATTTGTCCCTTTATCATCGGCCTTTAGAAAACAAATAAATTCCTTTTTAGAAAGGAAATTCCACTTGGATTTGTCCCTTTATCGTTGGCTTTTAGAAAACAAATAAATTCATTATTTCCTGCTCACAAATACCAGCATAAAATCTGGTGGATACACGCTTCAATGTATTTCCACAGTTGTCCTCTCTGTGAATATGGTGGTTTGTTGTGGACCTACTCCTTGCTTTGCTTCGTTTTTCTTACCCCTAGCCATTTCAGTATGTTCACCCAGCGCTTCTCAGCAGCTGGCTTAGAGCAGGTGTTCAGAACATACCAACGCCACATATACATTAGTCCAGCTTATCAGAGTTCACATTAAAACTTTGCTCTGTGACTACCTCTGATGAACAGCTGCCTAACCACCCAGCATTAACAGTGGGGTGACTTTTACTTCATGCATTTGGGAACGAAGAGAACAAGAGCAAGCCTTTCTGTGAGCGATTTCATGCCACACAAAAAGGGGTTGTTTAATATTGATGGTTGTATAGCTTGTGGTTGCTTTAAATTTCGTTTCCAAGTTCCAAGGATCTTTCTTCGCACAGGATAGAAGGATTGTAATAGCAGCATTCCAGCTTTTCTAACATTATCAACTAAGTAGCCATAGGTGCTCCAAAAGCTGCATTTAATGTAAATGAAATGGATTGTTAGCATTGGCTGCTGTAAGTGTATGTAGAGTAGTTGCCTGAACAATAAAAGTGGTCTCAAAAAGAGACAGGCCTTAGCTCTGCAATTATCTGCCTGTTTGATCTGGGAACCCAGTGCCCTCTCCTTTGTGAATTTTAACTTTCTCATCTGCAAAGAGGAACTAATAACACCTGTTCTGCCTATTTCAAGAGTTGCTATGGGTGTGAAAAAAGGACATATTTGTCAAAAAGATTTAAAGCTTTTTTTTTTTTTTTTAGCATAAGAGAGATTCATGATATTGTATGATTTCACATCACAAAGTCAGACATTTTCAGAAACGGAAGTGCCCTCAAAGGTCATTAATTCTAATATGCACTTACTTGGTGCCTGGCCACTTTCCATAAGACTCGGTTGTCTGCATTACTGTTATGGTGAATAAGCCTTGGAATTTCTTAGTTCCTGTTGCATTCATCCTATTTCCAGGCATATATAATTATACTAAAAGTTTTTATTGAGCCACATCAATAAACTTGATAATGATACCAGCTAGTAGGTGTATCACAGTATTTATTAAAATATTGTCTTGAATTGGATCACTCTTTTTTCTGTCAAGTCATTTCAATTTTGGGTATCTCATTTATCTGGGAAATGGGAACAAAATGATATATAGAGATTTGGGAAAAATTATGGAATTACTGAAGGAGAAAAATAGCTTGATTATTTGAAAAGATGATACATTGCTCATTTTTAAACTATTAAAGCATGCAGAGCCCCATCATCTCCTTGCTTCTTACCTTTTGTTCACATTTGGTGAACATTACTTATTGCATCTCTGTGTACATACATACAAATAATTAGAAACAGTTTTATTAAAATAAGATTATATTTATACTTTGTATCTCTTATAAAGAGTATTTTTTTAGTTTCCTTCCAGTGGAATAGGAATTGAATTTAAGCTGAAGGAATTGCTTAATTTCATATTAATTTCCTTTTACCAAAATGACTGAATTTAATTTTAAATAGAATCTTTTGACTTTTTGTTAGAACAATGGGAAAATTAACAAAGTTTCTTCCAGATTCCCTTTTTCCTTTTTGTGTTTTACACAAAAAGTTATTCACATTTATTTTCTGATTGTTAATTATAATGATCAAAGCTATATAGTATTAATTATTACTTACCTCAGAAATATGGAGACATGGCTTCCCCGTCATCTGGCATTTGGTGTCATTGTGAAGGCTGAATCAATGTTTTTGTTTTCACTTGTTCTTGTTTTGCTTTTTTGTCCAGGATGCTAATGAACAATTTATTTTAAACCTGAAAGTCCAGGAACTTCATCGATCATCTTACTTTTTGTCATTCTGTATCACTTTTTCTTGTATATTGCTCTTAATCTCTAAGAAGTAGAGTCTGTTTTTATGACAAGGGATTTTAAAATTATATTTAAAGTACACTATTTTGTTCTTTTCTTTAGTAACCCTGAAAATATGTGTGATGTTTCTTCTTTAACTTTTTAGTTTCACTCAATGTGCTTTCCAATTAAACTGTTTTAAAAACTGTATTTTCAGTTAAATTCTTTACATTTTTGTTCCCAAAGTAGCTTTTCATCTCTGTAGTATTTCATAGCTGTGTCGACTTATTTTCATTTCTTTTAGTTATCTGTTATTGTATCACATGAACCCTTGTACTTCTTGAACCTACACTTGTACCTCTGCCTT